GTTAGACTCGGGAGTTTGTGTATTGGAGAGCAAAGTAGACATGAGCTCTGAGCTCAAAAGAGCTTACAGACTAGTCAGAAAGACAGGCACAAGGAGAAAGGGAAGAAACCAGAGGGAGGGAGGGAAAGGAAAGGGGAGGAGGAAGGAAGGAAAGAAAGCCAGAGAGGAACTAATTATGTATAGGCATAAGTTCTATGAAGAAAACAAACAGGAACCTGAGATCAGAGTAACAGAGTGGACATACTTTGGGTAGAGAGGTCACACAAGTCTTCTCTAAAATGGTTTAAGCTCAGTCCTAAAAGTTAAAAAGAAGCCAGCCATGCAAACAGTATTTGGAATAGAAAGAACAACACATGGAAAGGCCAGAGTCAGAAAAAAGTGTTGTATGGCTGGAGCCTGGAAAGAAAGGTGGGAGTGGCAGGTAGTCAGAAGCCAGCTGCCAGGTCTGGAGAGCCCTGGAGGCCAAGTGAGGCAGGTGCCTTCATTCTGAAATAAGGGATGGTACGATCTCATTTATCTTTTATTTATTTATTTTTAGAGACAAGGTCTCACTGTCACCCCGGCTAGGGTGCACTGGCGGAGTCACAGCTTACTGCAGCCTCCAACTCCAGGTTTCAAGTGATCCCTCGCCTCAGCTTCCCAAGGTACTGGGATTACAGACATCAGCCACTGTGCCCAGCCACATTTATCTTTTAAGAAGTGTAATGTGGGCCGGGCGCGGTGGCTCAAGCCTGTAATCCCAGCACTTTGGGAGGCCGAGGCGGGTGGATCACGAGGTCAAGAGATCGAGACCATCCTGGTCAACATGGTGAAACCCCGTCTCTACTAAAAATACAAAAAATTAGCTGGGCATGGTGGCGCGTGCCTGTAATCCCAGCTACTCAGGAGGCTGAGGCGGGAGAATTGCCTGAACCCAGGAGGCGGAGGTTGCGGTGAGCCGAGATCGCGCCATTGCACTCCAGCCTGCGTAACAAGTGCGAAACTCCGTCTCAAAAAAAAAAACAAACAAACAAACAAAAAAGAAGTGTAATGTTTGGCCGGCACGGTGGCTCCCGCTTCTAATCCCAGCACTTTGGGAGGCCATGGTGGGTGGATCACTTGAGGTCAGGAGTTCAAGACCAGCCTGCCCAATGTCATGAAACCCTGTCTCTACTAAAAATACAAAAATTAGCTGGGCATGGTGGCATGTGCCTGTATTCCTAGCTACTCTGCCTCTGCAGGCTGAGGCGGAAGAATCACTTGAACCCAGGAGGTGGAGGCTTCATGAGCTGAGATCACACCACTGCACTCCAGCCTGGGTGACAGAGCAAGACTCCATCTCAAAAAAAAAAAAAAAAAAAAGTGTGATGCTTGATACCAAAAAAATTTTATCTGCATCATATATGAAACAAAGTGAACACCTGAGACTACCACCAAACCACAAAACTAGACCACTAATACTGTGGAAGCTACCTGACTTACAGTTTTGAAGGCATTTTGGCAGCCATGGGGAGAATTGATCATAGAGGAGCAGGAATGGGAAACAGATAGTTGTAACTGGGGCAAGCAATTGAGGCAAGGTCTGATAGTGGCCTGCAGTAAAGTGGTAGCAGTAGGGATGAGGGAAAAGGAGGCAGGGTTGAGATGGGCTTGTGGGGTAGAAACAAGACAAAATGAATGTGAGGTGGTATGAGAAAATGAAAGAACCAAGGATGGCCCCTCATTTTGAGATTTGAGCAAATGGTAGGTGGCAGTGACATAAACCAAGCTGGGGACCACTGGATGTCAGTGGATGGGCCAGCAAGAAGGGCCCAGGGTATGGGATAGAGCTCCTATGTGAAGCCTCCTTTCCCTCCGGCAGTGGGAGGAGCAGCACCGAGGTCGGAGCTGTGAGGATTTCCAGAACTGGAAACGCATGAACGACCCAGAATACCAGGCCCAGGGCCTCGCAATGTATCTTCAGGAAAATGGCATTGGTAAGGCTGTCCCACTTGGCCTGTTTGCTCAGAAGCCTGTTATTGTCAAGCTCTCTTCTTGAGGGCCTTGAGTTGCAGTGGCAGCCCCAGCCCTGACCTCTTGTCCTTTGCAGACTGCCCCAAATGCAAGTTCTCGTATGCCTTGGCCCGGGGAGGCTGCATGCACTTTCACTGCACCCAGTGCCGCCACCAGTTCTGCAGCGGCTGCTACAATGCCTTTTACGCCAAAAATGTGAGCCCAGAGAGTTGAGGGTGGGATGGAAGAGTGGGGGGCTCCCATTGGGTTTGAGAGGCAGAGGCCATTGAAGAGTGGCCCCAGGGAAGAGAAGAGGAGGTCAGTGGGATGTAAAGCACAACTCTCTATCCCCTTACCCTTTGCTTGCTCTAGACCCTCCAATGTCTCCGTCTCCCTTCACCCTTACATCCTTCATGCAGGGGTTCCTGAGAGGCCAGGACCCCAACAGTCTCCAACTTCCTCTCTCCCATCTGGGTTTCTGTCAGAAATGTCCAGAGCCTAACTGCAGGGTGAAAAAGTCCCTGCATGGCCACCACCCTCGAGACTGCCTCTTCTACCTGCGGGACTGGACGGCTGTTCGGCTCCAGAAGCTGCTACAGGTCAGACGTGGCCAGAAGAGAAGAAGGCAGGGCCCAGGGTGGGCAAGAATGGAAAAGGCTTCATGCTAGGAAGTGCATCAGGGATTGGCATCAAGGGGAATGTAACACCCATCTGTCTCTCCTCAGGACAATAACATCATGTTTAATACAGAGCCTCCAGCTGGGGCCCGGGCAGTTCCTGGAGGTGAGTGTTAGGACAGGCCTTTGAGAGCGGGGATGATGTGCTGGGCTCCCACTCTGTGATGGGTAAAGGGGAGGCTTGGGAGTAGGGTCACTTGTTGCATGCCCTTTGACAAGTTAATTGAGACCCCAGGCCTTGTTGCTTCCTCTGTAAAATGGGGGTAATACCCACCTTGCAGCTAAGCCATTTTACATAAGACACCTTTAAAGGATCTGGTACCTAGGAACGTATTAATACTAATTTTCCTCATTCCCAAGTGATCATAATTCATCAATTAACTCAATGAGTGTTTAGTGAGACCTGCTATTTGCAGGGCACTGTTTTAGGTTCCATGAGGGCAACAGAAAGGTGTTACATATGGTTCTAACCTCTTTCACTTCTTACAGTGTAGACAGAGGTAAGTCTACAATCCATACCATCCTGAATGTGACTGATCTTGGAGGCTAAGCAAGGTTGGGCCTGGTTAGTATTTGGATGAGAGATTGCCTGGGAATATCAGATGCTGTAGGCTTTAAATTTATTTATTTTTATTTATTTATTTTTGACTCCCCTATTTGTACAAAGGCTTTACATTTATTTTTTTTTAAATAGAGGTAGTCAGGCTTGGTGGCTCACACCTGTCATCCTAGCACTTTGGGAGGCTGAGATGGTAGATCATCAGAGATCAGGAGTTCCAGACTAGCCTGGCCAACAAGGTGAAACCCCATCTCTACTAAAAACACAAAAAAATTAGCCAGGCTTGGTGGCGGGCACCTATAATCTCAGCTACTTGAGAGACTGAGGCAGGAGAATCACTTGAACCTGGGAGGTGGAGGTTGCAGTGAGCTGAGATTGCACCATTGCACTCCAGCCTGAGCAACAAGAGTAAAACTCCATCTCAAAAAAAAAAACAACACAGAAGTAGCCAGGCATGGTTGGCTCACACCTGCAATCCCAGCACTTTGGGAGGCTGAGGCAAGAGAATTACTTGAGCCCCAGAATTTGAGACCAGCCTGAACAACATAGTGAGACCCTGTCTCTATTTTTTTTTTTTAAAGGTAAGACCTTCACAGAGTAAGTTAACTAGGCAAGAGATAAAGAACAACCCCCGCAAAAAAAAAAAAAAAAAAAAAAATGTCTCAAGAGGGTGTGTGTTTATGAGCCAAAAGCCAGCTTGGATAAAAGTAGGGACAAGTTCCCTGCCTCTGTATCAGATGGTCCCCTCTCTATCAGATGGTCTCCCACTGACGGCACCTCTAAGTACCCACCAGCACCACAGGGAAAGTAGGAGTTGCTGTACTTAGTCCCCTCCTTGGAGGCTGCCTTCCCTGCTTTGTGGATATCCCAGTTCTGGAGCTTTGTAGTCACTGACCTCTCAACAGAGGCTCCCTTCTTCCCTCAACTTTTTAGGTGGCTGCCGAGTGATGGAGCAGAAAGAGGTTCCCAATGGGCTCAGGGACGAAGCTTGTGGCAAGGAAACTCCAGCTGGCTATGCTGGCCTGTGCCAGTGAGTGCCAACAGGACACGGGCATGGTGTTGGGCAGTGGCTAGAAGTGGTGCGGGCATGCCCAGGCAGTAAAGTGGGTCCTTGGGAGTGGTAGGTCTTGCAGTGGGTGGGAGGGAGGAGGCTTTGGCCAAGGGCATGGATAGATAGTAGCACGCCATGTGGACACAGGTAGGGATTGTCAGTCTTGTTCATCCAAGTGTCTCAGAGCCCAGCTACATGTTAGACATACTCAGTTAATATTAGCCAACAGAACAAATATTCTGCTCCCTTTTCTCCCCAGGGCACACTACAAAGAGTATCTTGTGAGCCTCATCAATGCCCACTCACTGGACCCAGCCACCCTGTATGAGATGGAAGAGCTGGAGACGGCCACTGAGCGCTACCTACATGTACGTCCCCAGCCTTTGGCTGGAGAGGATCCCCCTGCCTACCAGGCCCGCTTGTTACAGGTACAGCCTCACCTCTGACCCCACCCTACAGAAGTCACCTGGCCCAGCCTGTGTCTGAGCCCCAGGCTTCCAGTATCATAACCTTCTCTCTCCTCCTGCAGAAGCTGACAGAAGAGGTGCCCTTGGGACAAAGTATCCCCCGCCGGAGGAAGTAGCTGAGAGCAAGGGTCCCATGAGGGTCCCATGGCCTGCTCCCTCAGGAACAGCTCCAGCACCAATAAAGAGGCATCTTACCACCCAGGCTTCTTGGCAGTCCTTCTTCCTGACGCCACCATCTAGAGGCACCAGGGAAAGAGCGGGATGAACAGAGCTTTGCTGAAAAAGGCCCCCTGCAACCTAGTGCCTAACCCTCCCTGGACTCAGGACCAGGAAGGAGTTGACACCCTGGATGGTCAAGGGAGGCCCTCCCCATCCAACCACCTGGCCTGGGCGTCCTCCCTCCCTGCCTCCTTTTTTCCTTTCACTGAATTTGACTGGTATTAGAAGTCACCCAATGCGTACCAAGCAGGCCTTGTGGGGGAACACAGTGCACAGGTGTACCCAGCAGTCCAGAGGCCCCAGACCTGACTCCAGGAACCTGGCCTCCCTGGGGAAGCCACAGTGTCACTCACAGAAGGTTAGATACAAGCAAGACTATCTGAGGGAGGAAGGGGAATGAGGGTTGAGATGAGCTGGCAGAGCAGCTCCCCCTGCTGTGACAGTGGCATCCTGACAGTGAGATGTTCAGATGATGCTGCCCTCTGGTGGCCACTGGTGCCCTGCAACTCTTGAGGCCACGTGATTTCTGGGAAAAAGCCGTTCCTGGAGGAGAATTGAAACTTAGGGTGGGGACTGTAGAAAGGGGCGGAGAGATCAGCCGCCTAGCCAGGAGTTAAGCTGAGGTTGTCTGAGTCCTGAGACAGCCTGGACAGCAACTCAGGTAAGGATGGGGGTCAGCCCAGGCTCTAGGGCTAGAAAGTCCAGCCAGATTGCGGGTAGGGGGTCTTAGGGACCCCTCTGTTAGACCGAGGGCTAGACAGAAGACCTGTAAGTCAGGAAGTGGGAGATTCAGCCTGAGAGTGCAACTGACAAGGTGTAGCACCCTGGATCCTTGTAGGCAAAGATCAGGAGGACCTGCTGCCAGATGGTTCAGGGAAAAAGGCTCATTGCCCCAGCCTCAGTTGACCCTGTTTGTTTCCTTGCCATCTGCCCTGCCCACTTCAGCTACAGCTCCACCCCCACCCCAGCTTCCTGCCCCACCTACCTCTGTGGCCAGCAGGGGGGTGGGGGTCAGAGGCTAGGTTCTATAGGCTGTGGGGTGGTGGGTGAAGAGCCTGATGCATCTTAGCAGAGCCTGCCTCTGCAGACACTCAGAAATCTAGACAGGGGCTCTAACCAGGAACAGATCACCAAAGGAATTCTTTCCTAATCAATACATTTCTGAAAAGTCCTAAAATTAAGACCAATACCTACGGTTTCCTTCCAGGTAGCACAGTTTAGAATATTAAAAACAATGTTTTTGGGGTAGTTGTTTTTTTTGTTTTTTGTTTTTTGTTTTTTTTTTTTTTGTCATTGCTAGTGATGGCAGAAAAGGAAATAATTCTGTCTCAGAGTGTTGAAATGTGTCTAGAGCTAAAAGAAGATGGATGGGATCTCTAGGGTCTGTTGCTAGAATCTAGTTCCAATGGCCAGGGTCTCAGGAGATGTTCTCTCCCAAAGTGTCAGTTTTAATGTTTCCTGCTCCTCTTATCCCCCAGGATGGCATCAGGCAGGGCACGCTGTACCCGAAAACTCCGGAACTGGGTGGTGGAGCAAGTGGAGAGCGGGCAGTTCCCCGGAGTGTGCTGGGATGATGCAGCTAAGACCATGTTCCGGATTCCCTGGAAGCATGCAGGCAAGCAGGATTTCCGGGAGGACCAGGATGCTGCCTTCTTCAAGGTGAAAGGGCCTGGAAATCACTGTTCCTCTGTGTGAGGGATTGTGTATACACTGGTATACTCACCCTCTGTACTTGCGTCTGCCTGGGTTTCAGATAAGGGACAGATTGGAGAGGAAAACCAGCTACATCATTTGCAGAGTCCAGTACAAAATGAAAATGCAGAGGCCTTGTTCAAAAATTACTAGGGATTTCAAGATAGCAACACAGCATAAACCCTTCATAATGCCTTCTGAGCTCAGAGCTACATGCCCGTGAAGCCAGTCCTGTTGGAGGGGCAGCTGGAGCCTGTAACATGCTGCCTCCTCTTCCCTTGCTTTCTTTCCTAGGCCTGGGCAATATTTAAGGGAAAGTATAAGGAGGGGGACGCAGGAGGCCCCGCTGCCTGGAAGACTCGCCTACGCTGTGCACTCAACAAGAGTCCCGAATTTGAGGAAGTTCCTGAGAGGGGCCGCATGGATGTTGCTGAGCCCTACAAGGTGTATCGCCTGCTGCCACCAGGAACCCTCTCTGGTGAGTGTCCCCTTGCCCAACCAGTCCTAGACTCAGCAGACTGGGGAGGAAGGATAGACCTGCGGGCTTCTACCAGGCTTCTCACAGCTCTGCCCTCTCTATGCCCTGGGGAGGCTGCTACCCAGGTTTCCCTTCCTAGCCCTGCCCATCCTTCACTGCCTCAGACCTCTCCTTTACCCTCTGTCCCTGCTCAAGACCCTGACCTTTCTCTCTTCCTCAACAATTCCACAGGAGGGACTCAGAAATCACCATCAAAACGACAGCACGGTTCTGTGTCTTCTGAGAGGAAGGAGGAAGAGGGTGCCATGCAGAGCTGTACATTCAGTCCCTCTGTGCTCCAGGACTCCCTCAATAATGTGAGCGATGGAGAGGGAATTGGGCAGGCCTGAGAGCAGGGCAGTAACTAGAGGGAGAGGTGGGCCAATAAAAGACAGCATATTCAGAGGCCAAGGTGGGCACATCATCTGAGGTCAGGAGTTCAAAACCAGCCTTGACCAACATGGTGAAACCCTGTCTCTACTAAAAATCCAAAAATTAGCTGTTCATAGTGACATCTGCCTGTAATCCCAGCTACTTGGGAGACTGAGGCAGGAGAATAGCTTGAACCTGGGAGGTGGAGGTTGCCATGAGCCGAGATTGCACTATTGCACTCCAGCCTCGGTGACAGAGTGAGACTCCATCTCAAAAACAAAGAACAAAAAAACACTGTGTCTGCAGGAAGAGGAGGGAGCCAGTGGGGGAGCAGTCCATTCAGACATTGGGAGCAGCAGCAGCAGCAGCAGCCCTGAGCCACAGGAAGGTACCACCTGCCTTGCCTCTTGTGTCGTCCACCATGTCGCACACTCTGGCCCAAGACTCCCCAGCCCCACTCTGAATGACCAGTGCCTTTGCTTCCCTTCCAGGTACAGACACAGCTGAGGCCCCCTTACAAGGGGATCAGGTGTCCCTGGAGTTTCTGCTTCCTGCAGAGCCGGGTATGTGACATTTCTAACTTTCTCCTGTGCCCTGTGTCCCTCAGGCCCTCCTCCTTTGATGGTACATGCATTATCTAGTCAGTCAGGGCTTACAGCAAACTGTGACCATATTATCATAGCCCAAGGCACTTGTTTCTAGGTGGTGAGAATTCCACATACCTGGCCAGACTCTAAAAAGCTTGCTTCCCAAAAATACCACCCTATACACTCTCCTGGAAATCCACACTGAGACACTAATTTCTTTGGGCCAAACAGAGCCCCAGTCTCAAGGGACCTTCTTGTAAACTACAGGACCCTGGGCATTTAGCCCTGAGGCCTCATGGTGAATCACTCAGTAGTACTAGCTACTTGCCTGAGTGATGGGAAAACCTGAGAGGAAGCCCCCTGCCTGGTGAGGGGAGGGGAGGTGGAGATGTTCCCCTGGGGAGGGACTATCACCAGCCTGCCTGCCCCTCCAGCACCAGGTACAGCTAGACTGTTCTATCCCCAGACTACTCACTGCTGCTCACCTTCATCTACAACGGGCGCGTGGTGGGCGAGGCCCAGGTGCAGAGCCTGGACTGCCGCCTTGTGGCTGAGCCCTCAGGCTCTGAGAGCAGCATGGAGCAGGTGCTATTCCCCAAGCCTGGCCCACTGGAGCCCACGCAGCGCCTGCTGAGTCAGCTTGAGAGGGGCATCCTAGTGGCCAGCAACCCCCGAGGCCTCTTCGTGCAGCGCCTTTGCCCCATCCCCATCTCCTGGAATGCACCCCAGGCTCCACCTGGGCCAGGCCCGCATCTGCTGCCCAGCAACGAGTGCGTGGAGCTCTTCAGAACTGCCTACTTCTGCAGAGGTGAGGATGTTCTCGCTGGGCACCTGAGCTCATACCCCCTGGGCCCAACTTGGTGGGTCCTGCCACCACCGTTTGCCAGCAGATCTTCCATGTAGCCTTTGCATGGCACTCCTGCACTTGTGTGGTGCACATCCTGTGTGGCCATATGCCCAGCCTGGCAGCTATATGGCAGCTCTCCTCCAGCCAAGACAGTGGAAGAGGAGGTTCAGGTAGAGTTCAGTACAAGAGTGTCACATCTTGGGGAACACCATCACAATGAAGCATGCAGTCATTATGTGAAGGTGCACAGAAGAATTGAGACAGAGTGAGCCTCATGGCCTTCTCCTACGTACACACATTTGGGAGAGCTGGCATACATCATACCTCCAGCCCTGGCTGCACCATCTCTACTATACTCCAGGAATGCCCTAGGGTTGCCCTTCTCTCCCATCCAGTTCCAGTTCCTACTCAATTCTAAATCTGACTTAAGAGTGGGACCAGGAGTACAGGGTGTGTAGCGTGTGGGTGTTCCCAGGGCCATGGGTACCCTAGCACTGAGAGGGTGTGAGCAAGCAGCAAAGGTCTGGGCACATCTATGTTAGCAGCCAGGGCTGCGGCCTGGGAGGACTCTAAACTCTCCCAGAAGAGAGCTTTTCAGGTTGTGCAGTGATCTGCTACTTCTAACACTTATTTGAGGCAGGAACACCCTTTCCTATTTGCACATGGGTGAGTAGCATTTAGTTCCGAGCACTTCTCCTGACCTTGCAGACCTGTGGCCCTCTCTCTTCTCTCTTTTTGTCCTTCTAACCCTTGACCCTTTCTCTTTCAGACTTGGTCAGGTACTTCCAGGGCCTGGGCCCCCCACCCAAGTTCCAGGTAACACTGAATTTCTGGGAGGAGAGCTGTGGCCCCAGCCATACTCCACAGAATCTTATCACAGTGAAGGTGAGCTCAGAGCAGGGGCAGAGTAGCCTATCTAATGAGAGTAGGGACAGTGGTGCTCCAGGAGGTGAAGGGGATCTCCCAGTGGGGAAGGAGCTCCTGGGGGTGGTGTCTGTCCCTGATGCACTCACTGAGACGCTCTTCTCCATCTCTTCCAATACAGATGGAGCAGGCTTTTGCCCGACACTTACTGGAGGAGACTCCAGAGCAGCAGGCAGCCGTTCTGTCCCTGGTGTAGAGCCTGGGGGACCCATCTTCCACCTCACTTCTTTGTTCTGCCTGTCTCCTTTGAAATAGACTCATTCTTCACATGATTGACCTGTCCTCCTCGTGATAATTCTCAGTGGTTGTCTGTGATAGTTGTGTCCTTAAAATCCTCGCACACACTGGCTGGTGGAGAACTCAAGGCTAATATTTTGTCCTTTCTTTTTAAATTTTTTATTTTTTGAATTTTTGAGATACACAACCTCTTTCATCTGTAAGGGACTGGGAAATCCAAATGGTGTGAACCCAGGGGCTTTTCCCTCTTCCCCGACCTCCCAACTCTAAAGCCAAGCACTTTATATTTTCCTCTTAGTTATTCACTAAGGATTTAAAATAAAATTTTATTGAAAGAGGAATCAGTATCTGATTTTTCTGGGAGACAGAGATGTAAACTTATGAGCAGGGCACTGGGGTCTCTTCTTCCTTATGACATCTTCAGAACTCGTTCCTCTCTTCTGCCCACAGGTTCTGGCTAGGATGCTGTCTGCGCCCTGTGGGTCCTGGGCCTGGCACTCTATAGAGATACTCTCTAGGCAGCCATGATTAGGGAGAGGGTTGGGATTGGCCATCGAAAGGGTACCAAGCCTTCAGCCAGGCACTATAGCCACCAACTTCACATGGTAGTCTGGGCTCCACAGTTCTTGTTAGAGAGCCCCAACATCAGGCCTGGAGTTAGATTAGAGGTCTAAATGAAGAGGAGACACTTGAGGATAACCCAAAACTATTCTAGAGGCCCTGGGGCCTGAGAATAGAGGAGTCAGAAGAGTTGCTAAACCTGTACCTGCTGTTCCTGGTGCCCTTTCCCCCAGCACAAATTGTACTGTCACCCCAGCAGAGTACTCCCAAACTGGATTCCTTGCTCTATCTAAGTCCCATAAAAGATACTCCGGCCTAGACTGCCATGTCCAACATGTTTTTCATGAGACGTGAGGGCTCCAAATCGACTGACACTCCCTTCCCTTTCCTCTGTGTTTATTTTACTACCAAACTGGAAGTTTTTTCTTCACAAGGCCACTTGTCACCTACTTTTTTGTATATTCACTTCCAGCAAACTAGTTCCAACCCAGGCCACAGCCTTCATTCAGCTTCCGTCTTCCTGCATATGACACCAGCTTAGCTTTCCAGACTTCCTCCTGTGATTTCACCCATCAACCCTCAATGGCTCACACACAGGATCAAATCTGGATGCCTAAGTCCTAGGACCTTCCTCCTGCCTCATTTGACAAGCTTCAGTACTGCCTTTGAGCCTCCCTGCCTCCGTGGACCTCCCTTCTTCTCCCCTGCCTCCATGGACCTCCCTTCTCTTCAGTCTTGTCCATCATCCTGGGAAGCCAAACACCTATACAGGCTCTGCAGTAGCAGTGAAGAAATCAGGTACTGAGTACAGAGGTGTACAAACCTTGTGCTCTCAATTTGATGAAATTCCTCCTAGACCTTCTTTGTACAAGGTCTAAATTACCTCCTTGACTCCCTTTATTTTTCTTTTAATTCCTTTTTAAAAAATTGGCTCATGCCTGTAATCCCAGAACTTTGGGAGGACGAGGCAGGTGGATCACTTGAGGTCAGAAGTTCCAGACTAGCCTGGCCAACATAGTGAAACCCTGTCTCTACTAAAAATACAAAAAATTAGCCAGGCATGGTGGCAGACACCTGTAATTCCAGCTACTCAGGAGCCTGAGGCAGGAGAATTGCTTGAACCCGAGAGGCGGAGGTTGCAGTAAGCTGAGATTGTACCACTGCACTCCAGCCTGGGCGACAAGAGTAAAACTGTGTCTCAAAAAAAAAAATTTTTTTTCCTTTTTTTTTTTGGCTGGGCACAGTGGTTTATGCCTGTAATCCCAGCACTTTGGAAGATCAAAGTGTGAGGACTAGCCTCTTGGTTAGTTTGAGACTAGCCTGGGTGACATAGTGAGACTCTACCTCTACAAAAAATTCTTTTTTTTTTTTTTTTTTTTGAGACAGAGTCTCTGTCACTCAGGCTGGAGTACAGTTGTGGCTGTGCAATCTTGATTCACTACTGCAACCTCCACCTTCCAGTTTCCAGTGATCCACCTCCCTCAGCCTCCCAAGTAGCTGGGATTACAGGTGCACACCACCATGCCCGGCTAATTTTTGTATTTTTAGTAGAGACGGGATTTCGCCATGTTGGCCAGGCTGGTCTCAAACTCCTGACCTCAGGTAATCCTCCCACCTCAGCCTCCCAAAGTGCTGGGATTATAGGCATGAGTCACCGCGCCTGGCCTCCCAAAATTCTTAAAAATTAGCCAGGTGAGGCCAGGCACAGTGGCTCACACCTGTAATCCTAGCACTTTGGAAGGCCAAGGTGGGGGGATCACTTGAGGTCAGTAGTTTGAGACCAGCCTGATCAACATGGTGAAACCCCGTCTCTACTAAAAATACAAAAAAAAAAGTAGCCAGATATGGTGGCGCATGCCTGTAATCCCAGCTGCTTGGGAGGCTGAGGAGAGAGAATTGCTTGAACCCGGGAGGCAGGGGTTGTGGTGAGCCAAGATTGTGCCATTTCATTCCAGCCTGGGCAACAAGAGCAAAACTCCATCTCAGAAAAAAAAAAAAAAAAAAAAAAAGCCAGGTGTGGTGATGTGTGCCCATAGTCCCAGCTGGTCGACCTCCCAAAGTACTGGGATTACAGGTGTGAGCTGCCATACCTGGCCTCCTTGACTTCCACTTTCTATCATACCCCACATCCAATTCATCAAAAATCCTGTTGCTATTCCTTCAATATGTATCCAGGGTCTGACCACTTCTCTCTGTTTCCATCAACAACACTTGGAACAAACCACCACCATCTCTCATATTTCCTCTTCTGCTTCCTTCACATCGGTTTCCACTTGTGTCTACCTTAAGCTATTCTCAACACAGTAGAGATCCTTTTCACACATAATTCTGATCATGTCATTCCTCTGCTCAGAACCTTCCATTGGATCCCAAATCACCGAGAGTAAAAAGCCCAATTCCCCATAACAGCCTCTGAGGTCCTGTGATGCGACCCTCCCCTCCTCTCTCTCACCCCTTGCCATTCTTCCCCCTGTCACTTTGCTCCAGGCTCCTTGAACCCACTAAACACATTTCTACCTCAGGGTCTTTGCATTTGCTGGTTCTTTTGTCTAAACTACTCTTCCCTCAGGTAGGTACATGACTTACCCACTTTCTTCAAATTTCATCTCTTAAGAGGGGGTAAGACTTCCCTGAGTACCCTCCCTAAATAGCAGCTGTCATTACTCTATCCTCCTGTGCTGCCTCATTTTTTTCATAGCACTGATGGCCACTTCATGTATTTCTTTTTCCTTTATTTTAAAACAATTGCCCACACTGGAGCACAGTGGTACAATCATGGCTCACTGCAGCCTTGAATTTCTAGGCTCAGTTGATCCTCCTATCTCACCCCTCCGAGTAGCTGTGACTACAGGCATGTGCCACCACACCCAGCTAATTTTTGTATTTTTGTAGAGACAGGGTTTTGCCAGTGTTACCCAGGCTCGTCTCAAACTCCTGGGCTTAAGTAATCCAGCCACTTAGGCCTCCCAAAATGCTGGGATTGCAGGTGTAAGTCACCACGCCCGGCCACACATTTCTATTCATCTGCTTATTTATCATCTCTCCTTCCCTACCTCATGAGAATAGGAACTTCTGTTCCTTGCCATATCCTCAGTTCCCTAGGGAGTGCTTGGCATATAACAGACATGCAATAAATACTTGTTGAACGAATGGATGAATTAATGAAAAAATTATTCTATGTTCCTTGCTTTTCTCCTAAACTGGGTTCCAGGCACTGTCAGGGCAGATGCCCTACTTCATTGTCTTTGAGCCCCAAAGGGAGCACTTATAAATACAACTTTTGGGAGGCTGAGGCAGAAAGATTGCTTGTGCCCAGGAGTTTGAGACTGCAATGAGCTATGATCACATCACTGTACTCCAGCCTGGTGACAGAGCGAGATCTTGTCTCTTATTTTTATTTTTATAAAAAGAGACGGGGGTTTCACCATGTTGGTCAGGCTGCAGGCTGGTCTTGAACTCCTGACCCCGTGATCTGCCCGCCTTGGCCTCCCAAAGTGCTGGGATTACAGGCATGAGCCACCTCGCCTGGCCTGAGATCTTGTCTCAAAAAAAAAAAATGAAATAAAATTGATAACTTATGTATAGTGATTGAAGCAGTTTGTAAGCATCATGCAGAAACCAATTTAGCTGAGCACAATAGGATAGGGATTGGGAATACTGGAATTCAAGAGCATAGAGTTCCCAAGCAGGCTTGGAAGAAGGAGCTGTGTGGTCTGGGAGAAACAGTCTATATGGACTTCTGTTTCCTCATTGGTAAAGCCAGGACTTGGACTAGATCTCTAAATCCCTTTCAGCTTTCACATTTTGGTTGTCAATATAGTGCAACTGCACATTCATTTGGCAAGTATTTACTGAGCTAGATGCAAGGCACTCACTGAGAAGACCCCAACCTCAAGAGCTCACAAATTGAAGCAGACTAAGAAGACAGGGAAGCTCAACTACAGTAAGAGATAAGTCTTAGGAAGAAGCATGCCCTGGAGTCAAGGCAGAGAAAGGGCATTCTAGGCCAAAGAAATGGCTGTGCAAAGGTAGGAGGCATAGGGACAGGGGGTTATTTGTTATTACAACCATACAACTTAAATTTACACAAATAATTGTTTGAGAATATGGCTTTTCTAGGCTGAGAAGTATGTGCTGATTCCAACAAAGCTAAAGTCTGTTTCAGCTGGGAGAACACTGACAACTGAGAAAGGACTACATGTGGCATGGTCATGACCTAAGGTGTTCAGGTTGAGGAAGTGACCCCAGTAAGTCCTCGTGGAGTTTCATGTAAGATTGACTTCTTTGGCCAGGCACAGTGGCTTATGCCTGTAATCCCAACACTTTGGGAGGCCAAGGTGGGTGGATCACCTGAGGTCAGGAGTTCGAGACCGGTCTGGCCAACATGGTGAAACCCCTGTCTACTAAAAAATACAAAAATTCGCCGGTGTGCTATCGGGCACCTGTAATCCCAGCTACTCGGGAGGCTGAGGCAGGAGAATCTCTTGCACCCAGGAGGCAGAGGTTGCAGTGAGCTGAGACCGTGCTCTAGCCTGTGTGACAGATTGAAACTCCATCTCAAAAAGCAAAGAAACCAGCCTGGACAACATGGTGAAACCCTGTCTCTTCTAAATATCCAAAAATTAGCTGGGTGTGGTGGCGGGCACCTGTAATCCCCGCTACTCAGGAGGCCGACACACTAGAATCGCTTGAATCTGGCTGGGATGAGGGAGAGGAGGTTGCAGTGAGCCGAGATAGCGCCACTGCACTCCAGCCTGGACAACAGAGACACGACTCTGTCTTAAAGAAAAAAAAATGACTTCTTCCTCATTGACCTGTGGCCGCTCCAAGGCCATCATCTCACATCTTTCTACCTCCGCAGCACACAACACGCCTTAGTTGGCAACAGTCAGAGTTTGTGGAATTTGGGGGAAGGGCGGGGTCTAACCTCAGGTCAGACGTGGTGCAAGGTACATCTTGGCACCTGGAAGAGGCCCAGCACGTTTGCCCCAGAGGTGACCCTACCTCCCCCACCAGTTGAGGCACCCTTGTTGCCAGGCAAGCCGCGGGGATGCGCTCATTGGCCAAGAAGGAACGCCTGTTACTAGAGGGGAGAACCAGAGCCCCATTGGTCGGGACACCTCACAATAGACCCCAGCAGCGCGCAGAGTCCTTATGATTGGTTTGCCGCCTGTCTCAGGAGACCCTGTTGCCTGGAGCTCAGGATACTTGGCGCTCCCAACCCGACCCACGTTCCCCATTGGCCTGGCAAAAGCCGCCATCTAATGAGCGGCGAAGTGCGGAGCTCCGGAATGCAGGCTTTCCGCGGTGCGATCTAGTCCTGTGGGAGGCAGCCCGGGCCGTACCGCAGCCGCCCAAACCAGTGCAAGGCCCCCCCCAGGCCTGACATCGCTTCCAGTGCTCGAGAACCAAGGCCTGCTGTGGAGGACACTGTGCTCCCTTGGGACCTGCTCTGGATCCCGGCCCAGGCGTCCCCTCGGAGCTCCGCATCTCCAACCTGAAACCCAACCCAGAAGGCTCAAGTTCGACGGGCCCACTTGGCGTGCGGATCCACTGAGGGTGAATCCACAGAGAGGTGTGCCCATCTCCTGCGTCTTAGTTATCCCGGTGATCGTGTATCCGCCAATTGTTGATCGCCTCATTAACTTGGCTTTCTGGGTGCACCCACCTCCTCACCTGTCCAAACCAGACTTCTCTCCAAAGTGTTGGAAATTCTGTGCCCTAAAGAATTCCAACTCAGATCCGAACAGGGATCTGGTGGAATAGAGGGTAAAAGGCTGGAGGGACCATGTTCTACTATCCCAATGTGCTTCAGCGCCACACCGGCTGCTTTGCCACCATCTGGTAAGGGCAAGGCCCATGGGTGCGTGATGGGGGGCACTGCCCGGGACCCCAGCCTGACAGCTTCCCCTCTATCCCCGTTCCCCCACCTTCCCCACCCACTTCAGGCTGGCAGCGACGCGCGGCAGCCGGTTGGTGAAGCGCGAATACTTGAGGGTGAACGTGGTGAAGACCTGGTAAGGCCCAGAAAAGGGAAGGAGGGCCTGGTGCAGGGTGTGGGTTAGGGGATAGAGTGGGCAAGGCTGTGGGCTCGGTCCTGGGCGCAGCGGTGATCTGGGCGCGTTGTTCCCCAGCGAGGAAATCCTCAATTATGTGCTGGTACGAGTTCAACCCCTGCAGCCCGGCCTGCCGCGGCCCCGCTTCTCCCTCTATCTCTCAGCCCAACTTCAGATCGGTGTGATCCGCGTCTATTCTCAACAATGCCAGTACCTCGTGGGTAAGGCTGGGAACCCTCAGGTGGGGCCGGCTGAGGAGCTGTCTGCTAAGCTGGCTCCCTACCTTGCCCCCTCTGCCCACAGAGGACATCCAGCACATCTTGGAGCGCATCCACCGTGCCCAGCTGCAGATCCGAATAGATATGGAGACTGAGCTGTGAGTGTCCCCTGGGCCTTTGATGGAACACCTGCTAGGTTGGCCTCAGCCTAGCTCAGCCTCAGTCCTTGACAGCCTACATTCTCTCCCAGACCCAGCTTGCTGCTTCCTAACCACCTGGCCATGATGGAGACCCTAGAAGATGCACCAGATCCCTTTTTTGGGATGATGTCTGTGGATCCCAGACTTCCTAGTCCTTTCGATATCCCTCAGGTAGGGCTCATTCCCCTAGACTCACAAATTGACAATGCAGAAGGGGAGCACTGTCCCTGTGTCACTCTGACATTGGGGTTGGGGAATGAAGCTTGCCACAGCTCTCTCCCACAGGAGATGGTGCAGGGGGACTGCCATGGTGGACCCATCTGGGCGAAGCCCCCTATACTTACCTACTCCAGGCCAATCTGATCAGATGGTTTCCCCAAGTGAGGCAGCTTTTGTCCCCACTTGTCTCCACACTGTTCTTACCGTCACGACCCTAATCCAGGCTCTCATCTCTGCATTGGGCTTCCTTACCCGTGTCCTCCTCCATCTATTCCCAGTAGTCCTACAGCTTATTGTCACCCTCTTCCTTGGTTCCCCATTTGAATAGTGGCTCCTGATGCAAACAGAATACTAGCATTTAGGGCTCTCCATGCCCCAGTTTATTTTTTTATTTTGTTATTATTTTGGAGACAGAATCTTGCTCTTTGACCTAGGCTGGAGTGCAGTGGCATGATCTCATCTCACTGCAACCTCTGCCTCCCCAGTTCAAGTGATTTTCCTGCCTCAGCCTCTGGAGTAGCTGGGATTACAGGCGCGTGGCACCACACCCTGCTAATTATTATTATTTTTTTTTGAGACAGGAATCTGACTGTGTCACCCAGGCTGGAGTTCAGTGGCATGATCTCTGCTCACCACAACCCCTGCCTCCCAGGTTCAAGCAATTCTTCTGCCTCACTCTCCTGAGTAGCTCAGACTACAGGCACATGCCACCATGCCTGGCTAATTTTTGAATTTTAATAGAGACGGGGTTTCTCCATGCTGGCCAGGCTGGTTTCGAACTCCTGACCTCATGATCCACTTGCCTTGTTCTCCTAAAGTGCTGAGATTACAGGCGTGAGCCACCACAACCAGCCCACTTTTTGTAGTTTTAGTATACACGGAGTTTTGCCATATTGGCCAGGCTGGTCTCGAACTCCTGACCTCAGGTGATCACCTGTCTGGGCCTTCCAAAGTGCTGGGATTACAGATGTGAGTCACTTTGCCCAGCCTATTATTACTTTTTGAGACAGGGTCTCACTGTCACCCAGGCTGGAGTGCAGTGGCGTGATCTTGGCTCACTGCAATCTCTGTTTCCCCTGTTCAAGCAATTCTCCTGCCTCAGCCTCCCGCGTAGCTGGGATTACAGATGCGCACCACCACACTGGCTAATTTCTGTATTTTTTAGTAGAGACGGGATTTCACCATGTTGCTCAGGCTGGTTTTGAACTCCTGACCTCAAGCGATCTGTCCACCTCGGATTACAGGCCACCACACCTGGCACATGCCCCAGTTTCAAGCTAGTCATCCCCAGACTTCTCTCTCATTCCCCTGTGCATCTGTGGCTCCTAAACACCAGTTTGGCCCTTGTTCCTCAATGATGCCACATTCACATCTTTGCTTATGCTGTTTCCCTAGACCATAACGGTCACTCCTCATCCTCTATGAGTCAGTTTCTACATATTCTTATAGACCTGGCTCAAATGCTACCCTTTTCTATGAAATATTTATCCCAGTCCAGCCAGAACCAAATGCAGTTTGGGAACTTAGCACTTTGCTAAGGCCTTGTTTTACCCTTTGCCTTGACTCTTGTGGGGTTATATACAACATTGTCTCCCCACTAGACCTTAAGATCAAGAATCTTTTCTGTTCACCTCTGTCAACCATAACATTTGACAAGGATAAGGATGCACTGCTTCTTGTACAAATTGTTAAGGGTTAGATAACTGGGGGTGCGAGTTGGGGAGGGAGATGAGGGCAGGAACTGAGGAGACTAGACAGCGGGTGAGTTTACTGCAAACTGATGTCAATGCAACAAGAATTAGGCATAAAAGGAGATTACCATGCATTGCTGAAGAAGGCTGTGAAAGTGGAATAGCAGAGGGCTGAAGCTAAATCCTATATTTTGTTTGCAATCCCTCCCCAAAGATTCGACACCTCTTAGAGGCTGCACCCCCAGAGAGAGTTGAAGAGATTCCTCCTGAAGTGCCTACAGAGCCCAGGAAGCCAGGTCAGCAGAGAGAACCTTCTTTCTGGTGAGAGGCATAGGCAGGCCCAAGAGCTGTAGAAATGACCAGTTTTGAGCATAAGAGCCAGGCCCTGTGAAGGGCAGTTATTTATTTTTATTTATTTTTTTGAGATGATGTCTCCCCGTTGCCCGGGCTGGAGTGCAGTGGCACAATCTTGGCTTACTGCAACCTCTGCCTCCCGGGTTCAAGCAATTCTCCTGTCTCAGCCTCCCTAGTAACTGGGACTACAAGCATGAACTACCATGCCTGGCAATTTTTGTATTTTTAGTACGGATAGGGTTTTGCCATGTTGGCCTGACCTCAGGGAATCTGCCCACCTTGGCCTCCCAAAGTGCTAGAATTATGGACGTGAGCTACTGCGTCTGATGAGGGACACTTTATGTATGTAACCTCATCAATACCTTACAAGAGTCCTCTGAGGTCAGATTTCTTTTCTTTCCTTTTTTTTTTTTTTTGAGATCGAGTTTTGCTCGTTGCTCAGGCTGGAGTGCAATGGCTCGATCTTGGTTCACTGCAACCTCTGCCTCCCTTGTTCAAGTGATTGATTCTCTAGTCTTAGCCTCCCAAGTAGCCGAGATTACAGGCATGTGCCACCACGCCCTGCTAATTTTTTGTATTTTTTTGCAAAGATGTTTTCTTCATGTTGGTCAGGCTGGTCTCAAACTCCTGACCTCAGGTGATCCACCTGCTCTGAGGTCAGATTTCTTATCCTTTTTTTTGAGACAGAGTCTCATTCTGTTGTCCAGGCTGGAGTGCAGTGGTGTACATTAGGCTCACTGCAATCTCCGCCTCCCAGGTTCAAATGATTCTCCTCCCAAGTAGCTGGGATTATTGGTGTGTACTACCACGCCCAGCTAATTTTTGTATTTTTAGTAGAGATGAGTTTTTGCCCTGTTGGCCAGGCTGGTCTCGAACTTCTGACCTCAGGTGATCCACCCACTTCGGCCTCCCAAAGTGCTCAGATTACAGGTGTGAGCCACCATGCCTGGCTCCCCGCCGCTGCCCGCCCGCAAGGCTGGATTGCAGTGTGATCATAGGTCACTGCAGCATTGACCTCCAGGGCTCAAGCAATCTGCCTACCTCAGCCTCCAGTGTAGCCAGGACCACAGGAATGAGCCACCACACCTGGCTAGTTTTTAAATTTTTTGTAGAAACAGGGTCTCACTATGTTGCCCAGGCTGGTCTCAAACTCCTGGGCTCAAATGAGCCAAAGTCTTGGGATTACAGGTGTGAGCCACTTCGCCCAGCCTCCCCACTTTACAGATGAGGAAAGTGAGGCTCACAGTGATCAAGCAGTGTACCCAGGGTCAGGATGCCAGGCTCTAGCCTGGGTTGGATAAGAACCCAGGTTACCTTGACTCAAGTCCATGCTTTTGGCTCACTGCATGGCTGTGAGAATTTGGAAAGAAGCAGAGCAGCTGGTGACTCCCCTACCCCTCCAGACAGGATTCTGGTCACTGTGCTTCCCCCTGAGGCCATCACGCTCCAGGAGGCAGAGCCCATACGGATGCTGCAGATTGAGGTGAGTTGTTCCCTGTACACAGGGCCTGAGGTCCAGCCCCCTTGCATCTACTTCTCTTTGCCCCCAGCGCCCTGCCTTTTCCATCTCCATTTCCCTATTCTCTGTCCCTGCACTTGAGCACCCAGTGGCTTCCTTGAACTCAGCCCTGTGTTGTGCCTCTGTGATCCACTCTCCTGGATCCACTTGCCTTTTCAGAAATGTTATAGAGTCCCCTCCCCTTGCACTTCCTCTCTGGACAGGGTGAACGGGATATCCCAGAGGTCAGCCGCCGAGACTTGGACCTACTGATTGCAGAGGAAGATGAAGCTATCTTGCTAGAAGCCAGGCGTCTCCAGCAGCTTAGGGCCCGCCTGGCACTGGAAGGTCAGACCCCTGGCATGGGCAGTCTGGGACTCGGCAATGCTTTTATTTCTCCTTTTCTGTCCTCTGAACTCTGATTCTCTCTCCACAGAGGCAAAGGAGGAGCCCCGGGTCCCAGAGGGTGAAATCATAGTCCCCCGGATCTCACCTCCAGCTCCTGCAGAGTAAGGGCAGGAATTCCTAGACCAGGTAGGGGGTCAGTGCTGGGAAGGGTCACCTCATTTATCTTGCCCATTTCCTCTCAGGGTAGAAGGAATAGCAGAGCCACTTCCAGTCCAGGCCCTGGTCCCTGAGGAGCTGAGGCCGACAGGCTGGGAGCCTGAGGCCCTGCTCATGGGTGAGTGTCCACCGTGCCCTGGGTGCTTTCCTGGGAGTACCTGGATACTGCTGCAGACAAGGGCTCTATATCCCAACTTGCTGAAGGGAGGACCCTGCAGTTTCTTGCCCTGGCGTCTGCAAGCGGTAAGGGGCTTATGAGACAGAGCCACAACCTTGGGTGTTGTTGCAGAGGTGACCCCCCCAGAGGAACTTCGTCTGCCAGTCCCACCCAGCCCAGAGGTGAGTAGCATCCCTTCCTATCCTCTTAGTTTGCCCTCCCCTCCCAGGGCTGCCTCCTCAAGCCCTGGGCACCGCTAGCTTACAGAGAGCCTTAGTGCAGATCATAAAAGATGCCCCTTTCTACGCCCCGTCATATTTGGCCTGCACTTACTTCCCAGATGGGTAGGTACCCTTATGCAAGTTATGAGCTGCACAAGTGCATGAAGACCCTGCTTAAGACCTTTCCCCAGGTTCCTCTAGGGGCAGGGTGTGGGGCCCTGTTAGCAGTCCACCAGAATGACAGGAAAAGGAGTAATGGGCAGCCTTGCCCCTATCTGCCCTCCCGACTCAGCGGAGGCCCCCGGTACCCCCACCTCCTCCCCGCCGCCGTCGCCAGTTACTGTTCTGGGACAAGGAGACACAGATCTCCCGGGAGAAATTCCGGAAACAACTACAAACCAGAGCCCACTGCCGGGAATGTGTGAGTGCAGCCCAGGCTTTGCTGGGGGAGGGAAGGAGGCTGGGATGACCAGGGGCAGATGCAGGCTGGGCCTTCTAAACTCCTCAGGTGGGCATGGGGAGGATTGGGAAATGGATGAAAAATCCCCTCCATTCCCCAGAAAATTTGCATGCGATGTGGGTTTGCACATACACAACTCTTCATGCTCCTTTAGTGACCCCATTTAGTAATGAACAGGGCAAGCAGGGTCATGAGCCCAAAAGCTGGGGAAGTCCAGAGGCCCTGGAACAACGCATTGCAAAGAGACAAAGGGGCACCAAGGAGTGGCTGCTTCATAATGGGGCTTCTGGCCTTCCCTCACCACACAGCCCATGGTGCAGCCTCCTGAGAGGACCATCATAAGCCCTGCGGAGTTGTTCAGAACCCCAACTCTGTGTAAGAATGGCAGGGGTTGGGCACGAAGGATCCTCAAAACCAATTCCTCATTCCTGGTGCTCCTCATACCTCAAACCCTGTGCTTATTGCCTGCTTGTCCACAGCTGGCTGGCTACCCCCTGAACTACTGGGCCTTTGGACTTCTTGTGCCCAGCCACTCCCAAGAGCACTCAGGCGAGAGCTGCCTGAGGAGGCTGCTGAGAGGGAGGCAGCTGCTGAGGAAGAAAGAAAGATTGAAGCTCCAAGTGAGATTGAGGTAACTGTACCACCTGTTTTCTGCATTGCCCCAGGGCCAGGCTCTGCCTGACCCAGCTGGCTGCCTTCTCCTGCCACAAGAGCCAACAGCACAGGCTCATTGGCCTTGGGCGTTCTGAGACCCAAGTCCCAGATGCTTGGGATCTTAGTTCTGCTTCTGCCATCCACAGGTCCCAAGGGAGGCCTGGGAGCCCAGTGGTCCCCTTATGGTGTCTGCAGGTAAGCACCTAGAAAAGAGGGGCAGTGGGACCACCACCCTAACCACTGCCCCAGGAAACTAGTACCCCAACTGCTGAAGCGGTTTCATGAGCAAAGGCATATGTATGTGACATAAACGCAGACTGGTCCTCCTCAGCTCCCCATCTGTGTGCTTTTAACAAGTCACTGCATGGCTCTGGCATCCACTTATGCCAGATGACCACAAGGTCCTAACTACCACCCAAGCAGATGCCCCCCAGTGCCTTTCCTCCCTCAACAGAGCTCTCCCTGGAGGCAGCTGAAGAGGAGAAGTCCCGTATCAGCGTCATCACACCAGAAGAACGGTGGTAAGCAGCCAGGCTTTTTGGGAGCCAGGGCCAGATGGTGGAAATGACTGCTAGGATAGGTAAGCCCCTTGTCACTGTCACAGCTGCCATCTTCCCTGCTCTGACTTCCATGTTCTCCTAGGGCCTTGGCTGAGATGGAGCAGCCAGAGGCTCCTGCATTGCCTGTGGTGCCTGAACTCCCCGAGGTGCCTATGGAGATGCCTTTGGTGCTACCTCCAGAGCTTGAGCTGCTCTCACTGGAGGCTGTGCACAGGTACCAGGGAGGCACCTTGATGGGGGGGTGGACTGGGGCTGAAGCCTCAGCTAATGGTTCTTGATCCCTACAGGGCAGTGGCACTGGAGCTGCAGGCCAACAGGGAGCCCGACTTTAGCAGCCTGGTGTCACCTCTCAGCCCCCGCAGGATGGCTGCCCGGGTCTTCTACCTGCTCCTGGGTAAGTGTGTGCGTCATGTGTATATGGGGCAGACACACAAACCAAAGGCCCATAGGCGGACTCCCCCAACCTGCCCTCTCCTCCCCTCTTGACCAGTGCTCTCAGCGCAGCAGATTCTTCGCGTGGAACAAGAAAAGCCATATGGTCGCCTCCTGATCCAGCCGGGGCCCAGATTCCACCGAGGTTAGAGTCCATTTAAGCTGTCAGGAAACTGGCCACTTCTAGTAACCATGCTGTGCTTCACTGGGCCCTGCCTGCCTCGTTTCTGAATGTGCATGTCTAGCCTTCTTGCTCTCAGAGTTATAGTTCAAGCAGAAAACAAACTGCTTTTATTACAATATGATGTCATGACTCCTTTGTAACATATCCAGCCTCACAGACAGCCCTGTAAGGCAGTAGGCAGGGCTGGCACCAGATGGGTATGAGGTCCAGAATCTTTGGTAAGGAAGAACTGAACTGGGCTGAGAGGTGGTGGTAAGGCCTGGGCAGGCTCCTTCTCTCTGGCCTGGCTGCAGCCTGCAATCTAGGAGAGGCCCAGTACAGCCTGGAGCTCCTGAGCCTTGTCAACAGGCAGTGAGCCCAGAGCTGCTTGGAAGCTGTCGACATGCTCTTTGGCCAGGAATGTCAGGAGCAGCAACAGTGCGGCCTTGGTGTCTGGGTGGAGAGGGAGGGGGAAAGGTCTGGGCTCCTAAAGCCTCGCTGCCCCAGGCCCTCTGAGCCCTACCACTCCCCACCTCCCCCAAGCCCCTGCCCATGACTCCTACCCTTACCTGGTGGGATCTTGTTGTCACCCAGAATGAGGCTGCAGATACGCAAGAGCTCGGGAGCCACATCTACAACCTGTGAGGAAAGAGTGGCTGACTCAGGGCAGCAGCCCTGGACCTCAGGTCTAGGCGGAGTGGTCGAGACCAAGGAGTGGCAGAGTGTCTTATCAGGGGTGATTTTGCCTGGTACTGATTCACAGGCATCCAAGACAACTATGAACATGAGAAGGACCAATGAAACTTGGTGGTAATGACTTTTTTTGGAGGGGATGGGGGATATGTGACAAGATGATTATTAGAGTCATTACCTCAAGACAAAAACAAACCCAGACACCTGGCTGGGCACAGTGGCTCACACCTATAATCCCAGCACTTTGGGAGGCTGTGGCAGCTGGATCACCTGAGGTCAGGAGTTCAAGACCAGCCTGGCCAACACTGTGAAACCCCGTCTCCACTAAAAAAAACAAAAACAAAAACAAAACTTAGCCAGGCATGGTGGCTGATGCCTGTGATCCCAGCTACTTGGGAGGCTGAGGCAGGAGAATCACTTGAATCCGGGAGGCAGAGGTTGCAGTGAGCCAAGGCCATGCCACTGCACTTCAGCCTGGGTGACAGAGCGAGACTCCATCTCAAAAAGAAACCCAGACACCCAGGAGCTCCACCTACAAAACAGTCTCTAAAGGTATAAAACAAGGGTGACACAAACACTCCAACATGACTCCAAACCTAGCTACTTGGTACAGGCAAAATCTCCTAAGAGAGCAGAGCTGATCTGATTGAAACATATGGCGTGGTGGCCCAGAGGCACCCAGGGCTCCACAGAGCAATCTGAAAGAGCCCTGGCTTAGGAAACCAGCCTAGGAAAACTGGAACTTCTGGCTCAGACCAAAGGGTAGAAATAGAGCTTCCTCAGGAAAAATGCTACATGGAGAGGGAAGTCCCACCTGTTCCATCATAGGACTGGCTGCCAATCCTTGCAGACAAGAAATGGTGCAGGGAGTATCAAAGAACAGCTAAAACTGTCACCTTGCCTCGGGTGCAACTGACAGCCTGGAGCTTCTGAGCCTCATCAGCAGACAGTGCCTATCACTGAGTGGAGTGGCATGCTCCCCTCTGAGGGCTACCAGCAGCAAGGTTACCTGGTCAGGGCTGCTCTGGTACAGGAAGCTGAAGAGGCGCCCGATGGTGACCCACTCCTCCAAGTCTTCCTTCAGTGGCAGGGCGTGTAGTAGGGCAGCCAGCACCTGGACACACAAGTATCTCAGGCCAACCTGCCCTGCCCTCCACCATCCTCCTCAGCTTCCAGGCCATGCCTGATGTCTCCCTCCTTCACCTGGGGTTCTGGTTTCCTCATGGGACTGGCCATCAGCAGACGAGCGAGTGCCCCACAGATGTTGTCACGGACACGATCATGTCGCTCCCGCGCCAGGAGGGGAAAAAGGAGCCCCAGCAGCTTGGGGAAGTTTCTGGTCCACAGTCAAGGAATGGCCCACACACTCAGGTAGAACTTGCCCACCTGGAAGCCCTGGGGACACTTCTCCAACCCCATGTCCCTCCTCTCCTATGAGCCAAGGATACTCCTGGGCAGGGCGGCCCCCGTGCTCTGCCAGGACGCCCATCCCAAAGATGGCATTGCTTCGCACCTCAGGGTCTGCCTCTCGGGCGGTGCTTAACAACACAGGGAGCAGCCGAGACACAAACTGGGCTGAGGCGGCACCCAGGCCCTGAATGGACTCTGCCAAGGTCCCCATCGCAAAGGACTTCTCTGCCACTGTACAGCCCTGTTTCTGACGGGGGAGGATAGAAAGGTAGCACAATCAGCCTGGGCCAAGGATAAAGGCTGGGGTGGGCACCAGGTGCACGAGTGGTTTAGGGTTCGAAGCCAGAGGATGGACACTCACTGTCTTGCACAGCAATAATGGCAGGAAGCCAGCAAAGAATGGGGCAAAGGAGTCTCCCCCAGCCGCGGCTGCCAGGGCAGGGATGGCCTCTCCAGCATGCTCCAGCAACATGGCGTCGTATTCAGCCTGTGGAGACAGGTCAGGGGCTGCAGACCTCCCCACCACGCTCTGCCACGGGCTGCAGGGGTCCCTGGGGCTGCCCTTGGTTGACAGGGCTGACCCCTCTCGGGCTGGGTGTTTCCATGGCCCAGCTTCTTCCCCTGGCTCTCCTGCTCCTATTGCTCCAAGCACACCCCAGTCCACACTGCTGTCCTTCCCTGAACTCCCACTGGCATAGTGGTCTCAGAGTTTTGTCCTTCTGGCCATTACCAATCTCTTTTAGTGGCCCTGGCTGTCCCAGTCCAAGCCCAAATACACTGTCCACCCCTGTCCCTATGGAGACTCCCTAGACTGCCTGATCCCAGTTTTCATCCCTCGCTCTCACCTGATCATCATCCTCTTCCTCCTCCTCGTCAGTATCCTGACAGGCTGTCTACAAGAAGAAATAGCTCAACTTATTAGGCAGAGCTTTCATGCCCCTTCCCTTTTTATAAATGTCTGGGGGTAGACTTGTAGCCAGTCCCCAACCTGGGCCTGGCACCTCTCCTTCCCAAAGCCCACCTGCCCTGCTTACCTTCCTCTGCAGCACGGCCTTGAGCATGCTACAGAGCTCAGCGAGGCGCCCATGGGGCTGCAGTGCAAGGGTTCCACAGCTGCGGAGCACCCCCGTCAGGGCCTCCAGCACAGCTATCACCACCTGGCGCTCCCGCTCCCTGTTCACTGCCTGAATATAAGATGGCACCACTCGGGCCAGGGCGGTCTGCAAAGCTGGGGACATTATTGGCTGAAGCCCCTGTCAGGCCCTGTCCCTCACCGAGAACCCCCAGCCTGGCCCAGCCTCTTTCTCACCAGCAGAGTTGGGTTCCGAGGGGCAGCTTTGACAGGCCTTGTGCAGTGCACAGCAAAACTGACCCAGCGCCTCATGGGCTGCCTTCCGCACATTCAGGTGAGGGCACTGCAAGATGAGGAGGGGCGGGATATGCCTACTGTGTGCACTGTGAACACAGACTGAGAACCCCACCCACCAGCCCACTCACCTCCAGCAGTTTAAAGACTTCTTCAAAGACACTTTCCATGTACGGAAGGAAGGCTACACTACAGAGAAAGACACAGCCGTGGGTAAGGGGCTCCCAGGCAGGGTTTTCAGTGCCAGGTAAGGGCAAATGCTCACCTGGTGTTCACAGAGATCTCCCCCAGGGCAGCACAGGCGTCTTCCTTCTCATCGAAGAAAGCGTTCTCTACGCTGTACCTATAGTAGGATGGGGAGGGAGTGGTGATCAGGCACTAGGCCCTTGTCTAAAACCAAAGTCTAGATTCCTGACCAGAAAAGCACCCCTCTGTACCCTGAGATCTCTGAGTCATCCTCTTCTTCCATGTCCTCATCCATGAGCTCCTCCTCTTCTTCCCCATCACTCTCATCGTCAAACAGAAGGAAGGAGCTGCTCCCGTCATACTGAGGCTGGAGTGGAGGCACGGCAAGGACTTGGGCTCAGCTGGGCCCAGGAGATAAATCCCATCGCAGGGTTGGCCTGGCCCAGCCCACCCACCGTCTGCTCACCACAATGCCCTCAGTGGAACGGAGTGACAGCAGCATGAGCGTGGTGATCTGTTCCAAGTGGGGTGCCAGGCCTTCACCCATCAGACCTGATAAGGCCGCAAATAGGCTGTACCTGGTCAAAGCAGGCAGAAGAAACTCTATGGTCCTGCCTGCTACAGCCAGACAGGATGAGGGAGTCCAGGAACACCTGGCTATGGTCCAAACCAGAGGACTAGAGTCTAGGGTGGGGACTCCAGTGGGTTCAGTGGGCAAACAGGAGGGGTGGGGACACAGGGGCAGGCGCAGGGTGAAGGGTCACTCACGTGCAGCGCCGCAAGTCAGGGTCGTCTACCTGGTCGCAGAGGCCCAGACCCAGCTGGCAGCATTCCTCAGCCAGTGGCCTCATGGGCTCCCCCACCGCTCGTGCCAGCACCCCCAGTGTCTCTGTCAGGGCAAGGGCTCCATTAGCACCCAGGCTGTGGAGGTGGGCTATGATAGAACCACATGTGGTAGCTAGGAGGAATTCAGAAATCCCACCCCACCCCTTGGTACATCATAAAGAATACCCCCTTTCATGAGAAGGAAGACACCCATGCTCCCGCAGGGGCAGTCTCTGTGAACACCAGGTGAGCATCAGCCTTTTGTTGGCACTGGAACCCCAACCTGGGAGCCTCTTACTCACCCAGGCTCTGGATCTGCACAGGCTGAAGGTCCTCATGGCCTGTCAACAGGAATTCCCGCAGGTGCTCCATGATGGCGGGGAAGTAGGGCAGCAGCGAGGCCTGGGCGGCCGTGGCTGCAGGATGGAAGGACAGAATCAGAGATGGAGAGGGCAGGAACCACCTGCCACAGGGCTTTGGGTGAGCCCCACATCCCTGCTTCCTGCCTCTCTCCTCACCAATAGCTCCCAGAGCGCTCACAGCCAGCTCCTTGGCCCGGGGACTGCTGGGGTTCCTCAGGGGATGCAGCATGCATTCCATAAGCTCCGGAAGGTAGGGCTGCACTTTGGGCCCTGTGGGAAAGGATGCTCCTCTACC